AGAAGAAATTGAAAATAGACTGCATCTTCTTCCTGATCATTTGGAAGTGTAGGCGGAAATGGCATTAATTAATTAATGTAATTAATAAAATAAATTACACCATTCCAAATTCAGCTCCCCCCCCAATAAATTGTCAGCTCCTGGATAATACTTTTAAACACATGGATGTTGATTAGGAATACCAGGAGATGAGAACCCTGGGAAGGAAAGCCACTGGGAGTTAACACAGAAAGCAATATAAAATAGTATTTTTTATTAAAAAAACACTATCTTTGTCAATATTTCTTTGTAGTTCCACCTTAATTACTATCTTATATTTAGCAGGCATATCCAATCAACTTACGTTGCTATATTCAACCATTACTAATCCAATTCATATTTTAGTTACCTTAAGTCTATAAAGAAGTTGTAACCTTTTAAGGTTTGCTTCAGCTGCTTCCCCCACCATAACAAACAATTTTTGCTACATTGAAAAAGTGTCTCTCATTCCCATTATTATTAAAATTCCATGATCAAGTTTCTCCAACAGAAGACAGACCGTGGGCTTCATTTTTACCAATTTAAAGTAATTTTCTGTCTCTAGAAGGTAGAAGATACTATAATATCTAGTGGTTAAGACACCAGGCTAGAAACTAGGACACTGAGTTCAAGTCCTGCCTTAGCCACGAAAGCCAGCTGGATGACTTTGGGCCAGTGAGTCTCTCTCAGCCCAACCCACTTACAGGGTTGTTGTAGGGAAAATAGGAGGAGAAAGATGTGTTGGATATGTTTGCTGCCTTGAGTTATTTCTAAAAATAATAAAGACAGGATATAAACAAACATTCAGCTTTCAGTTTGGGAATGGTTGCACCAATGTGCCTTTCGCTTTAGTTAACATGATATTTCAAGTAACCATCAATGAGAATATGTTTTTAAGAAAAAGGATTATGGGAAATAGAGAATTTTTCTTCAGGACTGGCTCTTGGGGCCCATCCATACTGGAACTTTGTGGTACCTCATAATCAGTTCTGGAGTTGTATGGTTTGGCATCAGAGTGAATTTACTTCAGACTCAGCTGAATAATATCTGAAATTATGTTTCCATTTTAAATGCTGCAGAACTGGTGGGCTTGTGCAACATTTCTAGCAATTTTAGAAACAAGAATTTAAAGAGTGGAGTTGCCTCCAAAATATGAATATATTAAGGAAAAATAATCTTAACATGGGCATACTAGTCTCTAAGTCATCATTTTCTACAAAGCAAATGAAATGACAGATCCTGCATATAACTCTTTTAAATTTTTATTTGCATTAAGGATCACTTTTGGCCCACGGTTTCCTATACCCGATTCCAACCTACACTTGCTGGTTCATTTCCTTTATTAAGTTAATTGTTTGGGTCATTAATCTGTGTCAAGGAAGCTTTCCAAGTACTTGATGAGATTTTCAGACATCAAGCTGTGAGGCATTAAAAATGATAAATTTACATCTAGGTAAAACGATGCCCTTCAGCTTCAATAATGAATCACCATTTTGTTTACAAATGAGTATTCTGCTCAAGACATGGCAGACAGATATAATTTTAAAGGGGAAATGGCATTACTTTTGGAGATGATCTATAGAACTGAAGGAATAACATGACCGAGAGATAAAAGATTCGGTGCAATTAATTTTTTATGTATGAATTTATAGATGCACATTTGAACTGATTCTGTCTAATCCATGTTTTATAAAGGGGAAGCTTTCTTATGAAATGTCTTGAGTGGAAAATTTATATTGGTTGCTTTATAAATGTTCATTATTACTTAGGACCTAATTAAAATAAGCTTTACAACCTACTATTAATATATACAGTATGCTGATATTTATGCTGTCTTCAGTGGCTAAAAACTTCTGAAACCATAATCACATCTTGATCCATATCTGAATTGCAAGGCTAAAACTTTTCAAACTCATTTATTAGAATTTTATCCATAGTGTTATACCATCTCTTATATTAATTTTTCAAGTGAACAATTTTATATCATTAATAGCAGTACACAACTATTGTTCAAGTAGGGCCTTTTTATTTGTATTAAGCTTAAACTTCTATATAGGTGAACCCAACAAAACCGTATTAGTTGGATGAGGCTGCACATGGAATTGTATATGTGATCCAAAGTTTGAAAAAAATCCATTAATACTAGTCTTTTTATAACTAGTGTTAGTTGAGTGTGTATTATAAGCAGAGGTGGGTTTCCGCAGGTTCTGACCAGTTCTGGAGAACTAGTAGCGGAAATTTTGAGTAGTTCGGAGAACCAGTAGTAAAAATTCTGACTGGCCCCGACCCCATCTATTGTCTGCCTCCCAAGTCCCAGCTGATCGGGAAGAAATGGGGATTTTGCTGTAACCTTCCCCTGGATTAGGGATGGAATGGAGATTTTATAGTATCCTTTCCCTGGAGTGGGGTGGGAATGGAGATTTTACAGTGACCTTCCCCTGCCATGCCCACCAAGCCTTGCCATGCCCACCAAGCCACACCCACAGAACCGGTAGTAAACATTTTTGAAACCCACCACTGATTATAAGAGACCTGAAAGAGCAGCTGACATATGGGCAGGTGTTATTCAGAGAGATAATGGGATCCTTTCATTTGATGCATTCAAGTGAAGGCTACAGAGCCATCTGTCTGAGATACTTTAATCCTAGATTTGTTCACTTGAGTGGAGAATTAGCCTAACTGGTCTTTCCAACATTATGATTCTGTGGTATTCCTTCAGGGCAGCTAGGAATTTTACATCAGTGGCCTTGTATTCCTAAACAATGATAAAACTGTTCTTTTTCATTTCAAATCATACATCTGGGTATCTGCTGAAACTGTTCAGTGCATATATTTGTGAGGCAGTTATGAGCAAAATAGACCTGGTTAATAAACACATTTAAATTGGAATGGAATTATCAAGAAACACAACTGCCTTGTTAATCAGTGCAATTGCTCAATAAATTTTATGTCAGCTCACTCTTTAGAAAACTTGGCAGCCCCCCAAAATATTGAAATTCTATGAATTACAATAAAACCCAGCAGAAAACTAAATCACTGTAGGATACAAAGGCTATGATCCAAGTTGCTTAAGCCTCACTGAAATCAATAAGAGCTGATGTGTGCAATATTTGTCGTGTCTTAAGTTCTTATTTTAATGATTTTAACTGAATAAAGACAATGTGTTGAAATGTTTTTTTATTTAATAATTATATGAAATTGAAAATACAGTCATTTTTTGAAAGGGGCCATTCAGGCTGCTGAGTCCAAGCAACTAAAAACAGGATTCCAAAATACTAGAAGTATAAATTCCAAACCATTATTAATGTAAGGAAAAAAAAACATAGAATATTCAGTTTTGTTTGTTTGTTGCAGTCACCAGTCAATGTAACAGCAATAAATATGTCAATAAAACGTTGTTTTTCACCCTAAGACACAGAACAGGAAAATATGCATTAGATATGACATGAATGAGATATTTGTCATTATACTGAAAAATACTGCACTCTTAGGTATATTTTGGAATATACTTATTTTTCCTAATAACACCCTTCTCTGACCAACTGTTATAATTATCTGTATCTTAAACTCACATACGAAGTATTTTTATCTGAACAATTGTGGACATTTGCCATTTTAGCTGATTGAAATTTTAACTTTACATTTAATTCATGAAAATACATTTAACTTATTTTCTATATCAGCCACATTTATGTATGATCAAAATATCATAATTATAGATTAGCAGAATTCATTGAAGTTTTATTTTTTCATATATTTCTATAAACAAATATCCTATAAATGATTTATAAACTCCTCTACTAGAGCGAACTCAGTAAAGTCAGTAATTTAATGAACGTAACAGAATCCAAGGGATTGTGAATTTAGCCTGAGACAGTTGGTGATTTACACATTTTCTGAAGAAAGAAATGTGTGAAGCAAACTATCTGGTTTATTAATTTAATTGGCATGTGATTTAATATAAGCTGCAGGCTTAATTTTTGTCTGCCTATTACAAACGTGAACTTTTGCCTAGTCATATTTTCATATGCTACAATGGATTAAAATGAAAACTGGATAAAGCTAGAAGTTTGGAGTAATTATCATTTTTAAACAATGATTTGGTGTGATAACTGGCAAAGACCATATAATCCCTGTGTTGCTAGAGATACTTACTATATAAAATCACATAGGACAACTGTAGCATCCTTTGAATTCATATTTATTTAAACTTTCAATACTATAATCTGATCCACAAAGTAATAAATGACTTAATATACAGTAATATTGATTTAATGACGGAAACTGCAGATAAGCATTTACAATTACATTATCAGGGAATCTTTAATGTGGCAAACTACACACCTGTAGTCTGAAAATATGCTAATATATATAGGCACAAAATATTATGAAAACAGTGGAAAAACAGATTTGACATACTCTATATAAAGTCTTCATTATGTAGAAATGAAATGGAAATTGATAGATGAAAGCAAATATGAGTTAGTCAATTATGGTAATTTATTTAGTTTTGCTCATTTGCTTACAGCTGTTGCTCACTACAGACCCCCATATGAGAAAGTCACAGTGTCCAATTTACCTGTCCCAAAGGTGCTTTTCCAAAAAGCAACTGGACTTTCTTGGTTTCTTTTCTTTGAAAATATTTTGCTACTCATCCAAGATACTTCTTCAGCTCTACTTGACTGGTCGGGAATGAAAGGGTTTATATTCCTTAGCAGTAATCTGGTCCTTATCACTCTAAAGGTCGGTCATCAGTTCTCTGAGAATCTTTGAGACCACTTGGAGGTTTAGATTCAGAGTCACCTAAATCAGAGTGCAAATCGGTATGGAACCTTCTTGGGACTGCTGAAAGGATGTGTTATAAACAGGAGATTGATGGTGTCATATCCCTCCCAATTTTAACATAGATGGCCTATTTGACCCCTCTTTCTGTACAGAATGTGAGCTTTGTTGTCTTCATAAGAGTGGTCTTTGTCTTTCAGATGCAGATGGACTGCTGAATCCTGTCCTGATGAGTTTGCTGTGGTGAGTCTTCTGTGTTGTGCCATGTATTTATGAAGCAGTTGTTTCGTTTTCTCAATGTACAGATCTGTACATGTCTAACTGCATTGGACTTCATATCTCACAGTGAAATGTTTTCAAAGAAAAAAACTCAAGAAAATCCAGTTGCTTTTTGGAAAAGCACCTTTGGGACAAAATGACCTGGATGATTGAGAATATCTTTCTTGATCTTAATAAGAATATAAATGCTACTACCATTTCTAGACCCCATGTGGTAATAAGCTCTACTCCTCCAAAACTTATGAGATTGTGTGAAATCCCTATCCTGATACTGCCATTTCTGTGGGGAGGGGGGCCTGGATCATTTATTCACATTACCCTCTTCCTGTTTCCTACATATCCTGTAATCCCTTAGTTTATAACTCTAGCTCTGACACCTATCTGCCCTATGCTTTACCTTTGGGGAATGTGTAAGGGGGCCATCTGTTTTGTCTCAGTTCTGAAGCCTCCTGAAAGAAGCGCCTGGAAACAGTCCCTTATTTCCTTCCCAGGATGACCGTCTTCACAACATCTTCACACCTGTGGATTGGCTCATTAACATCCAACTGAGGGGAGGGATTTCTAACTCCTTTATCCTAACAGAATTGCCTAAGGGGACCTTAGAGTCTGCTTTGCTTTTGTCTTGCAATCATTCCCTTTCAGTAAAAGGTTCCTTTTGAAATGCTACTGTTTCAAGAGTCCGTACTTTCTTGATTTGGGGAGTAGAGGCAAGACCTTACAGACTCTCTTTCTAATTCCAATGTAATGTAAAGAGAAGGGTCACCTACTGGGCATTTTTTTAGTTTGCAGAGATTATTGGTATTTGTGATGTAATAAAATTGTGAAGTTGTATTAAGATCATGTCTAAAGTCAGAGTTTATTTTCAGAAAATAACTGAAGTTATTTCATGAAGTCATGAAGTTAGCAGATACAATAAAGTCCTTTTTATATGGTCTAGTAATTCAGACAATTGGGACACCAAGGAATACTGCTCTTAAATTTTAGAAAGGCAGATTCTCCGTGTTAGAACAGGTTGACAGTAGAATCAGTTCCTGTTCTCTGGAGAGGCTGGACTGCCATCTATAGGGAATTATTTTGTTTTGATTCATGTACTGAACAGGGGATAAATTCAATGCCCTAAATAAGCCATCCCAACTCTGTAAGTTTAAGAATCTTCATTGTAAATCATTTCCATGGCACCAGCTCTTGTGAATAGTCTTTATAATTGGTTTTTGAAATATTTTCAACTTACTCAAGAGTGTTGACATTGCAGTCCTTGCCCTATGGTATGTGTATATGGTTAGGCATTTATATACGACAAAAACCCCTCTAAATGCCTGACCTAGATGTTTGTGTGAGGTGAGCATGCGAAGGGGTATTTACAGGTGAACAGCCAGCCTTGAGGTTAAGTAAGCATGTTGTTTGTTCTGCAGTGGCTTGGTTAGTATGTCAGCCGTTTGTTCCTCCGTTTCACAATGTATGGTTTCTATGAATCAGATACTGGAGAGCTGCCTGACATATTTGTGCTTGATATCGATATGTCTCGATCTCTGACCTACTGCATCTACCTTTGATATCTCGATGGCTGCTCTGTTGTCCTCATGGATAATGATGGGATATGCGGGTTCAGACCAAACTTTGGAGAGTAGGTCATCAAACCAAATTAAGTTGTTGGCAGCCTTGGACAAACATATAAACTCAGCTTTGGTGGTTGAGGTGGCTACCAAGTTTTGCTTACCCATATACCAATGCACGGGGCTGTTATTTAGGAAGAATATGTACCCTGATGTAGTCTTCCTGCTTCTTACGTCCCCAGCCCAGTCTGCGTCCGCGTAACACGATAATGTTGGTTTATTGGAGGCTTCTGGCTCCAGACATAAGTAAGCATCTGAACTGCGTTTCAGGTACCTGAGTATTCTCTTGATAGCATCCCAATGGTATGTGGTAGGCTTACCAACGTGTCTGGATAGTAGATTGACGGGTAAGGCAATGTCGGGTCTTGTCCAGTTTGCTATGTACAATAATGAGCCTATGGTAGACCTGTAAAGAATGTAGTCATTGAATGGTTCTGCTTCGTTATACATGTTTTTCAAGAAATCTGGCTGCATTGGGGTTTCACAGGGTTTGGCGTCAAACATATGACATTTATGTAGGAGCGCTAATATTTTTTCTTTTTGAGATAGCCAGAAGCCTTTGTTGGTTTTGGTGATTTGTACCCCTAGGTACTTGTCCACCTTTCCTAATATCTTCAGAGAGAAGTGTTTTCCTAGTTCATTGGCAAAATTATCACATTTGTGTGTCTGGTCACCGATATATAATATGTCATCCACGTAGACGAGGACATATTCGATGGAATCACCTGCTTTTTTGGTGAAGAAGCAATGTCTGCAGACATGGCGGAGAAGCCCATCGATCTTAGAATTTTGGCTAGACTTCGTACCACCTTTTTCCTGATTGCTTTAGTCCATATAGGCTTTTGTTGAGGAGCCACGTTTCCCCTTTTTGTGTATCTTTGCTGGGGGGGGGGGGCGTAATGTAAATTTCCTTGTCTAGCTCCGCATGTAAGTAAGCTGTCTGCACATCGAATTGATGTACCTCAAGACCTAGGATGGATGCTATCACTAATGCACACTTGACTCTCTCAGCCCTGACTGTGGGGGAATACGTGTCAGTGTAATCTTCTGGGTACTTTGGTGCGAAACCCTGTGCTACTAATCTGGCTTTGTATAGCACTTTATTGCCCTCTAGTGTCTTGACCTTGTAAATCCACCTGGTACCAATTGGTGTCTTGTCATTTGGAACTTTGGTTGGGGTGTAAACATTCAACTCCCGGAGACTACTCATTTCTCTCTCCATGGCTTGCTCCCACTTGACCCTTTCTTCCTCGGGTAGGTTTAGTACCTCTTCGTAGTTGTTAGGAGTTAGGTGGTTAGTATGCATGGATAGGACATAGTCCTCTAGTTTCTTTGGAGTCTTGTTCCTGCTTGCTCTAATGGGCCTATCTGCAGGTGTTTCTGTGTCGTGTAGGAACCTGGCCTCCCTCTCTTGTTAGTGAGTCTAGCTTTATACTTGGGTGGTTTTCCTTCCATTCCCTGACTTCTATTCCCTGGCTCTTTGGTACGGATTTCCCTTTTCCCTTGTTTTCTTTTTTGGTTTGTTCTACCTTGTCTTGATTGCTATTGGGTAGTTCCCTTTTGGGGAATACCTCATTCAGGTGTATCTTGGACCAATTGGCATGTTCATGGAATACTGCTGTTCGGGACACTATAAATTTATTGTGATTATCTATGAACCTAAATCTCTTGGTCCCCGGCTCATACCCCATAAACCTCAACCTTCTCGACACTTTGTCTCTCTTGCGCCATCGCTGTTTGGGGATGTGTATGTCTGCTGTGACCCCGAATATGTGTAGGTGTGCTATTTGTGGTTTCCTCCTATACATTAAATCATATGGGGTTCTGTCTATCGTGATCTATCGCTAGACCACAACCTATTTAAGGTGTAGTTTGAGTAGATAATTGCTTCTGACCAAAAATGTTGTCCTAAGCCAGCATTCTCTAAGACACACCTCATCATGGTTTGTAAGGTACCGTTTCTACATTCCGCGACCCCGTTCTGAAAAGCAGAGAAAGGTGAGGATGTGAAGTGTAGTACCCCTTGTTCTTTTAACCAATGTGAAAAATCCCTTGACAGAAACTCAGACCCCCGGTCAGTCATTATTTGCTTGATTTTAGTGTTGTGCTGTACCTCTACCCTCTTGTAGAATTCCTTGAACTTTTGGTATACCTCGTTCTTATGTTTAAGAGTGTATACGAACCCGTAACGACTAAAGTCGTCTACAATGGTCAGAAAGAACCTCTTTTTGTATTTAACAGATGGCCTTAGGGGCCCTACAAAATCAATATGTACTAGTTGGAAAATGGAGTCAGTAGTTCGGATTGACTTTTTTGGTCTGGGTTTAGTCTTGAGCTTGGAACATTTACACACTGAACACTCAAGGTAGTTTTCACAATTTTTTACTTTTATGCCTTCAGAGCAGTTAACCATTTTTTGTATAACGGGGAAGCTACTGTGTCCCAACTTTCTATGCAAGAGATGCGTGCAGTCATCATGGATGGGCTTGTCTATTGAGGGCGCTTCCCCTTATCAGATGCTTCACGAACGTTCAAGTCACCAGAGATGTATTTGCAACTAACCCCCTCTATTTCTTCACTTTCACCCTCTTCGTCTTTGTCGGGTACTGAACCCATATTAACGTTTAGATTGGCGTTTACTCTTGGGTGATCATCACTATTCGGGTGAAAGTATGGTAGGCCTCCACTGACTATGGTCTTTCCTACGTTTTTGCCTTGCTTAGTTTCAATGTGGCGAGGATATTGTAGGGTATTTCTGGTACAAGTAATACCCCCTCTATCTCTCCTATTCCCGGTATGTGCATGTTCCCCTTCCCCGTTACCAAAACATTGTTTTGATTGGCCACTTTGATTATGAAGTTCTCTTTCGTGAGAGATGTGAGTAACTTTGGGTTGTATGTTGTGTGGTTAGTGGCCCCTGAATCTAAGAGCCACGTACTCCCTTTTTTGGTTTGATTAATGGCATGTCCCTGGTCCCCAAATCCATATAATGAGCCTGTTTGACTTTCTCTAGAGCTGTCCCTGTGTCCCCTTCCGTCTCTTGGGTTGGGTGAGTCCCTGCGCCTGTGTCGGCTTTCTGGTGAGTGTCTGTCTGGGAACCTAGGCCTGTGGTCTGGTCTGTCCCTGCGAAAAGAGTGGTCCCTGTCTCTCTTGTTTCTGGGGCAATCCTTCTTATAGTGGTTCCTGGAACCACACAGAAAACATTCGGTTGCATTGTGATTCCTGCTTTGAAATTCTACTCTTTTGACTGGTTTGTGATCTCTTCGACATATTGAGCGGTCCCTCCTTAGATTGTCCTCAGTTATCAACTTGTTGGTCAGTACTTCTAAAGTAAGTTGTTCCAAGCTAAGGCTATCTAGCTGTGTAATAAAATTGTCCCAACTGGGGTCTAGAGAATTAATAATAATGCTTATTATGCTCCCCTCGGTTATAATCTCCCCCCTCTGTATTAGTTCTGCCCTAGTGGCGTTCAATGTTAGTAGGTGTTCGCTCATGGTGGTCCCTGCCTGGTGTCTGGCTGAGTGAAACTCCCTGGAAATTCTGGTAGTGGTGCCTACACTTACTGTAAAACAGGCTAAACATTTTATGTAACAGTTCTGAAACAGTCAGGTGATGACTGATGCTAGGATATATACTGGGTGAAATACTAGCTATCAATATGTAGTACGCCTTATGATGCATGCAGTCTAGTTCAAATGTCCATGGTTTTTCAGGAGGGTCAGTGATCAGAAAAAGTAAGTTCTCCTTTAAAAGGATGACCTGGAGTTGCTGGTTCCACTTCAGGAAATTTGTCCCATCTAATTTTAACTTAGGAAAGTCAGTTGGCAATGTCCCTGTGCTGTGTGTGAGATTACTTACTGGCTGTCGCTGTCCATGATATTGTGCGGAAGGGAACTCGCAATAAGGCAACGGGATGCTTGGTGTCAGTCTGTATTGACTTGCTTCTATGGTCTTTTCTTTTCTCTCTGCAGGCGGATTCTGCGCATGCTCCGGATTCATTCTTGTCCAGCGCTCGCCGGGGAAGGAGCTTGCTTCCGTAGCTCCTGGATGAAGGCCCCATTCGCCCGGATGGATCCTCGGTTCGGCTTTGAGTGGCCTCAGGTAGCCGAGGGTCACTCGGAATGCCGTTCTGGTTGCCGGGATGCTCCTTGGGTCGCCTTGGAGGGTCAGAGGGCCCGCGGCAGTCGGGTGAAGATCCGGAAGGCCTGGTCTGGCACGGTAGCTGCATGCTGAAGTCCATGCCCGCCGATAGTTCTGGGTGCTTCGGATGGGATCGTCGGACTGGTGAGTGGTCGGTTCGTCCATCAGGCTTCGCTGTGGGTCTCGATGGGGGCATGGGGAGGTTCTCAGTGGGAAGCGTTTGGCGTGGTACCCATGCCTTGGTGTTAGTGCTCCCCAGGTAGTCCTTGCGGTGGCCCCCTGCGTATAGGCTGTCTCATCAGGCTCCCCCAGAATGTCGGGGTGTGAGCCCGGCAGTTTTAATTTAGTCCTGAAGACCGCAGTCAGTACCTGTATCGCCTTATTAATTTCGAGCTCGGTAGGCGAACTTATTGGGCTTGATTCTGGTTCATCCCCGCTGTTGGGGCTATTCTTTTCAGTTGCTCTCGAGTAGGCCTCGATTCCCGCCATGTAGTTTGAATCTCGGGAGCCCATTGGTTGTTGGTTGGCCATCTTTGGTGACGTCACTGTCCAAGATGACCGCTCGGAAAAAGGCGCGAATTCGTCTTCGTCCTTTTCAAAGGGTGTATGGTAAGGGAATACATCTCCTACCATGTCGCTGGTTGTAGAATTTGGTCCGATTTTGTCTTCTCTGGTCAGTACTCCGCAGTCTCCGATCAGTCTTTGGAGTTCCGCGACGAGGTCCAAGTTGGTTGGGGTCGAGTCTATTAATTCCAGCAGTTTTTTTCTGAGACCACTTTCCTTGCTTGCGGTGATTTCGGATCCATTTTCCTTTTCGGCTTGTCTCCCATTGGTTCTGGTCAGGGTGCTTGGGCTGGGGATCTGCTTGTGCTCATCTGGCGTTTCTCTTGGCATAGCTCCCGCCGGCGATAATTGTGCTGCCATCTTTTTGGTGAATGCCCGGGTGTTCGGCCTTCCTTTCTTTTCGGTCAGCTTAGGGGTTCCTGGCATTTCCTGGAGTAATTGGGTTGTCAACCATCCTCTGCTACCATTATGTTAGGATTGTTCGAGGATCAGAGCCAATAACTCCATCACACGTTGTAAAGTTAAATAATCAATTGTTTATTCACATCATGTTTATCAATTACAGGTGGTCAGCTGGAACTGGCTCCAGGACCGCATGGATGGGCTTTAAATACCTATGGGGCGGAGCTAAGGTGAGGGGTCAATAGGTGAAGGGGTCTCTGGGAGTTAACCCTTGCAGTCCTTGCCCTATGGTATGTGTATATGGTTTGGCATTTATATACGACAAAAACACTATTGGAACCTGCTGAGTTCAAAAGCAAAGAAGTCCAAGTCATAAGAACTATGGACATATTGCAGTCAAAAGTAGAATGCATGGAAGAAAATATGTCAGTGGAAGCTTCCATGTTGCTTCCAAGGAGCTGAGTTTAATTGGAAGGAGGTTTTTTTATTGTACAGTAAAAAATAATAAGGAACAGTTGACTTGATAAGCAATCTTTATGTTATTCCATTTCTAAGGAGTTTTCTTTTGAAAGTGTTTTTTATAATATACTTAATATATCTAATACAACTAATGAAAAAATTATATTTCTTCTTGAAGTAACCAAACCAATGTTTACTATGATCATAGATCAGAAAATTAAAGTTTAAAATATAAATAGTAGAGCAAAAGTAAAACTAGTTGAAGCAGTCAGCTGATAATGTCATCTCTACTACCACCCAATAAGTAGAATCTTCTTATATGTTGTTTGTATCTGCTAATAATAGTTTAGTATAAATCACATCATTTTTACCTGGGAATTACTGGAGGATTAATGCTATATTACTTTTGGAAATCTCTATAGCAAATGCATTAAAGGAAAACATGTTTGACTATTTGTATTTCTCTGGAATCACATATATAGACTTTCATTTATATGTGTTATATTATATTGTCCATTAAGAAGAGGAGAAGGTGCTTCCAGGTGCTTAGTGTAATTGTTATGGCCAAGGCTCAGACCTTAGATTCTGAGTCTGAATCTGATGCTGAAAAAGAAGATCCAACTGAACCTATGGAACGTCAGCCTCAGGAGAAATCATATAATGATGATTAAACACAGGCAACACCTGAGCAGCTGTACAAGTCAGAAGAACATGATGTAAGACCTCCAACCCACCTGAGTAGAAAGGAAATCAGAACAGGAAAGCTCTATTAGGCTTCTCGCCAAGCAAAGGAGTAAACCTTCTGGTTAGTGACAGCTGGTTGCACCTTATATAAGAATCTGCTCTGTGTCTGTTCTTTTTGCTGGAAATATTTGACATGCAGGACCTTCAAATGTAGATTCTTCCTTTGGATTGACTGACAACCTTGACTCACTCTAAAACCTTGGATTGACTTTGGACAATTTTTTGGCATGCTACGATTCTCCAAGCAAACCTTATAGGCAAGCATTTATATCTTAATTTATAACCTGTGCTTACTTTACATTCCTTTATTTCACTATAGATTCTTATACCCTTGTAGTATAAGAATTGGTAATCACCCAAGAAACAGTCTGTAATTCTACATCTTTCAATATTTGGTATATTTTTATGTTAGTTTGATTGTATCCAGTAGAGATTATGGTTTTTTTAGATAGTGGTGGTGAATTTTCTACTGCAAGGCCCATGGACAAGCACAGTCATCTATTAACTATTAATTAATTAAGGTCAGTGGTGCTTGGCCTACTGGAAAAAAAGTTTCACCTAGTAAGTCAAAACTAGTCCAAATCTACTCCCTACACCCCTACTTTCAAGTGTTAGAGTTGAATTGGAAATGCTTTTGGCTACAATAAGCATTGGTTTCAGCAATTTAGTTTGTATGACCACTGTGAAGAGCCCATTTTGTGTAGTAATTAAGGAATTGGGCTATGAAGTGGGAGACTACAAGTTCAAGCCCTACCTTAGGCACAAGGTCAATTTGGACCAGCCACTCTATTGTAGCCCTAGGAAGGAGGCAATGGCAAGCCACTTCCTGAAAAACCTGCAGGGAGTAGCCCAGATGGTAACCAGGAGTCAACACTGACTTCAATGTACAAAAAAAGAAAAGATCTCTGTGGAACTATTAACTAATAGGCCAACTGTGATTCATATAACAACTGGCCCAATGTTTTGGACTTAAATTTGATAGTGGTTAATATTTAGTTTGTGAAGGTCTCAGAAGTATGTAATAGCACTCAATGTTCTTAATCCAATTTGAGAACAGGAATGGGGTGAAGGTGATAGGGAGGTAGAAATTGAAAAAGTTAATAGAATAAATATGTAATTTGCAAGAAATATACTAAAGTGGGCTGTTGGGATTAAATCCCTGCTTTCAATGCCTACGTGACATTGTTGAACCAGAGGACTGATGGGATTAAGCCCTCGCTCATAGTATACGTGACATCTCACCATTACTGAGCTACCCCGGTAGGACCAAGGAAGTGGGCATGTCATACCCATAAATGGTAACCATGTATACATCCGGAAATGAATATACTGACTGAAAAGAATATATAAACCTGTATGTAACAACCCCTCGGGATTCAGAGAGCTGGTGTGGTCTCTTTTCTGTAACATTTCCTGGTGAGTCAGCCAGGAGTCACCAGGCGATTTTTCGCTCCGGACGACCAGGACTCCGCGGCGGTGGAGGGATCCCTTGCCCAGGTACCTCAAGGCGCCACGAAGTCATTTACTTCAGAGGGACGGGGTGGGGAGCAATCCACCGACAAGGGTACATCCAATCAATCCAAGGACTCTTTGTGAGTAAAGGAAAGGAAGTCTGAACGAATCCCTGATCAGGATGTGAGAGGAAGACCTGCCGGCAAGCGAGTATAGTGTTTGTTACCTACTCCGTTTGAGAGTAGAAAAGGGTGCCTGATCACCGCCCTGGACTCGGGACGTCAATCCTAAAGAAGTCCGCGTAAGGTTTTGGTGTAGGTGGTTAAACCAGTGCAGTTCCTGAAGGTGACCATTGAATTCCAGCACTCCAGGTCACTGGTAATGTGTTAGGAATGGGTGGAAAGAGTAGTGTCCCAAGGACACCACTCCAATGTATATTAAATAATTTCCAGCAGGCTTTTAGCGGAGATTATGGGGATCCGAAAGCGGATAAGTTTACTTTGCAGAAGTTTTGCAAAGATGAGTGGCCCATCTTCGGTGTAGGGTGGCCTTTGTCGGGGATCTTAGATCTCCGAATAATAGGTTTAGTACATTAGGCAATTACTGATCCTGACACTGGTCATCCCGATCAATATCAATATATAGACCAGTGGCAAATAGCAGTAGAAAATAACCAAGAGTGGTTAAGAAAATGCAGGGCTGAGTGGATGCGAATGTGTGTGAGTCGTACACGTCAAAGAAAGAAATCTCTGTGTCAGAAAAGATCAAAAACTGTCTTAAGCGGGGGAATGGAGGAAGAAACTAGGCCCCCTCCATATGTGCCCCGATATCTGCCCTTGCCTTTACAGGCACAAGAGGGAGCTGTGGTAGTTCACTCCGGAGGTCAATCAGTAAGACCGAAGGAGAAGAAAAAAATAAGGAAGGAGAAAAAGCAGCTTTCCTCCTCTGAGTCAGAATCAAAGGAGGACTCCCCAGTGGCCCAACGAACCCGTAGTAAGGGCAATCCACCCAATCTAGTTGCCCCATTAAAATAAGTGGGCCAGCAATTTATAGATGCTCAAGGTCAGCCCCATATAGCCCCTATATTTCAATACACTCCTTTCACTATTACGGATATATTAAATTGGAAACAACATTATGGCCCATTTAATCAAAAACCTAGAGAAGTTGTGGATCTGATTTAAACTATAATGCAGACTCATATGCCCACATGGAATGACATACACCAACTCCTGGGAGCCCTTCTCACACCTGAGGACCGAGAAAAATGGAGGGTGGCCAGGGATAAAATCCTGAAGAAAAGATTCCCTAATGATAATGATCAAGCTCATCAAGCTGAAAGAAGACATAGGGCTGCTGAAATCAATCCACATTGGGATCCTAATGATGCAACTCATAGGACTTGCCTGATGGATTTCCGTGCCCTCACCATAGAAGCGCTGATCAAGGCAGGAAAATTTCCTGTCAATTTTTCAAAACCTGCCACTGTGTTGCAAAAGCCTGATGAAAGCCCGGAAAGTTTCTTAGAGCAGCTAATTGAGGCGTACGAGCAGTATGCCTAAATTGACATAAGACAACCACAAAATTTGGCTATGTTGAATGAACAATTCGTTGCCCAAAGTGCTAAAGATACTAGGCGGAAACTACAAAAACAGGAAGGAGCATTGGGAATGAATACCAGTCAGTTAGTGGAAATAGCAAGGAAAGTGTTTGTAAATAGAGACAAGGTAGAGAAGAAGGAGAGAGAGGGACGAATGCAAAGGAAGGCAGAATTACTTGCTGCCGCATTAGGAGGAGTGACTCTTGGACCCAACCAGTGTGCCCTGTATAAAGAAGAGGGACACTGGCAGCGGGAATGCCCATGGTGATTGGGATCCCGGGGTAAAGGAAGAGGAAGAGGAAGAGGTAGGGTGTTGCCTCCTCCCGCATGAGAGGAAACAAGATGGGAGGAAGAGGAGGTTATGGGATAAGAGGACAAGGGAGGCGCCCCCCAGAGAGGGGGGAGCTGATTGGATTAGCGGAAATGGACTGGACTGAATGACCGGGACCAGGCTTAGAGGACCCACTCCCAGAGCCATTGGTTTCAGTAAAGGTGGGAAAGAAGGATATGACTTTCTTGTTGGATACTGGGGCAAGTCGGTCAGTAATTAATAAACCGATAGCCCCCCCCCTTCGGGGTCTCAAGTAAAAATTCAGGGAGTGTCAGGAACAGTGCTTGGAAGGCCTATACTGTAACCTATTTTATGTCAATTAGGTAATACGGCTCTCAGCCATCAATTTTTATATATGCCAGAATGTCCATTCCCACTTTTAGGGAGAAACTTACTTACTAAATTAAGGGTGACGGTCACATTTACACCCGATGGTAGTGAATGAACCTTGAACCATCACACAGATCACACCTGGCGCCTAGTGGTTATTAAAGAGACTCCAAAATCTGGGAAATGGTAAGAATTTGATGCCCCTGGGGTATGGGCGGAAGACAATCTTCTAGGACAGTGGTTCTCAACCTTCCTAATGCCACAACCCTTTAATACAGTTCCTCATGTTGTGGTGACCCCAACCAGGGGTGGGT